AGTCATATGAATTATTTGTTTTCAATTATTCCATATTAATAAATATCATGATGTACAATATAATAGATACAGTTATTATGTTTAACTGTTGAAAAAATGCCCGAGTATTATTTCGTATTAAAACTAATTATGGTTATAAGATATTGTTGTAAATTGTACTCATTGCGTTTATTCGTATAAACTATAAAAACGATTAATTAAAGTAAAATAATCTTTATATTTAGGCCATACCACTTTTGTTTTAAAGTAAGTAACCCTAAAATAGTTTTCAAAATTTTAAAACAAAAAACAGCTAAAGTTAAAAGTTACTTACTAATGTTGTTTTCTTGTATCGTCACACCTAAAAATAAATTTAATGGATATGAAAGAAAGCTTACTGTTTTATTCTTCATTACTGCAATGTTTGAATTTTCAAATACTTGTAGCAGTAGGTTGTAAATCAACCAAATCGTTAACATTTTGGTTGGAAATAAATAAACCAACATAATTTTACTTTAATACAGGATATTATTATCATAAATCAACGCATACTCAGTATATGTGAATATGCAACATTGTTATGATTGTATATAAATTGCATTGTATTAAATGTGTTGTAAAAATGATGAATTATGTCTAAATAATAAGTTAACTACTTAAGATTCCAGTGTAAATGTTTAACATGGTCAAAACAAAATGCAATTAAGTTTTTTACAAAGTTTATATGCTTAATATATATGGTAGTAATTATTATAAGTATCACAATTTTATCAAAACAATTGATTTATATTTTAAGGATCAGATTTATAAACCATAGCTACCCGTTGACGTCATTTGGCGAGATAGGCGATCAATTTGTTAATTCCGAGTGTTGGAAAACTTAAGTACCGCCTTCAAATAAATATATTTATTATACACTGATCGCGTGTTATTCAGCCGTGTGGCCTCGTAAACGAAAGTAATAACTAATAAGTAATAACCATGGAGTGAATACCTGTACAGGCGGACCAAAAGATTAAACATTTACAGCTTTTGTTTTAGGACATTGCTTCAAATACTGAAATATTGTTATTACTATGATTTATGAGGTGTTGAAAAAAAAAAACCGTGAAAGTGAATTATGAATTCAATATAATTTATGTAAGTACTTAACTATAATTTTGTATTTATTATAAAATTTTTATTAAATCGAATTATTAGGTATTTAAGAAGTAATAAGTCACGATATAAAGGAATAATGAATTTATAAATTATTATAGCTGTAATTTATGTAATCATCTTATTGATTTTTTATCCATATGGTCACGCTAATACCAAAGTTAATAAATGTTTAGCGGTCAACTAGTTTTTTTTTTTACTTCTAGTGTAAAACTTTATTTGTATATCAGCAATAATTTTTAAAAAGCAATTTTAAATATACCTGGACGACTCGATATTAATTTTTTAACCTTTGTTTTATTTTTTCGTCACTTTTACATTAAAAAGTATTAATTGAAAAATATCTTATTTGATTATTTTCTACTAGACTTAAATTCTAATGTTATTTCTTATAAGTCATGAAAGTAAGCTAAGTATAATATGAAACATATTATAAATCTAACTGTTTGGTTTAGTATTAGTGTTTTATTTTATTTTTATGATCCAATTCTTATATGACATTCAAAATACGTATGTATATTTATATACTCGTATGTATGTATAATACATAACGTATTATATTATATTTTAAATTTATACATATAAGTATGTCATACGTTTTGAATCTCAAGTTACATCATCATTATTACAATCCGTATTATGCTTTGAAAATAAAAATGTTAAAATATTTTTTTCTCTGACGGTTTTTAAAAAAAAAAAGTTTTATTTTCTTTATGAAATTGTTATCGTTAAATAAACAATTAGAGTAGATTTAAGTAGGCATTAATTTTTAGTTGTCATTAGAAGATTTGTTTTATAAATTTATATAAAGCTATAGTACTTATTCATTTTTAACCAATAAGAAATAATATTAGTGAAATTGTAAAAATAATTGGTTTGTCGAAAAGGATTTTTTAAATATATTTCGTAATTGACAAATATCTTAATAGAGTTAGAAACTCTGCTACTAGTATTTATTAATGTTTATTAAAGCGCCTATGTCATTGTGTGATAGACAAGTTCATCCAATTAAACAACAAAGTATAGTATATCTGTAAAATGTAAGATTTTTTTAGGTAATAATAAATGTAGGAATAAAAAAGTACAATCTTGTGAGAAAAATAAAATATGAAACATTATAAAGTTATATGCAAATGGATTAAAATTGTTTAATAGAATTTAAATGTTAACTTTATGCAATATGAAACTTAGTTACCTAGCTTAATAAAATAATATTAAAATATAACATAACGCAAAATATGTTGTTGGTTGAAAATCATATCGCTATCTTTTATTATACCTATAGTATACAGTGTTAATTTTAATTAATTAAGTATTTAAATAAACAACACACCAATGTGTTTTGTATAACAATACAAGCCGCACTAATTAATAAAATTGAAATAATATTTTTCAATTTTTATTTTTATTTTTTAATACGAACAAATTCAATTTTTGATCCGATTTTATTTTTTATATTCGCGGTTATAACCACTTTACATATTGTATCAAAAAATGAGTTTGACATGAAAATAATATTAATAATCATTCAAAAATATTATTCTCTATACAAATTATTAGTTATTATTATGGAGAATAATAATTATGAAATCTATGAATTATTTTATAAATCAAGTTGGCATGAAATTTTTTTAATTATTTATTGAGTAACTAATTGCTGCTTATAATTGGCAAATGATTGAATACATTATTATAATTATAATGTACCTACCTTTACAAAACCTGTAATTAAAATTTTAAGCGTGACTAGGTTCTTATTTAACTTCATAGTTTGATGTTTGTCATTGCATTATATCATGAATATTTAATAAAATAATGCACTCACTGCATTGAAAAGTAAATGTTTTTCTAAGGTTTTATTTTTCTTATAATATTCATTAGATACTGAACTTAATTATAAATCAATCATTATTTACTATATTATATAAGTAATGAATATGTAATGTAAAATAAATTATTTTTAGTATGATTGAGTGATTGTGCACATATATAACACAGTCCATTAAATAAAAAATATAAATAGTCAATTAGAGGTGTTAAACAACCAGTATTTATAAGACATTAAAAATAAAATTATTATTTTATTTTTTCAACTTTGTTATTTAAGTAGTGTTAGATGGCTTAAATATTTAAAATTCATTGAAGTTATACTAGTAACTGATGGATTGGTTAAAGTAATTATGAATTTAAATAGCATACATAGAATATTAAAATATTAAATATTGATACGAAATAAATAAATTACTACAATTTTTACATACACTACATATATATATATATATATATATATATATTTGTAGAAATAAAAAGAAGTTCTTATGAGAGCAATTTCAATTTTGACATGTTTTGTGACTGTTAAATCTAAAATAATAGAAAAGATAAAACTGAAATATTACTTTAGACATGTAAAGCTACAATAACTTTATAAATATTACAATAAAAAATACAATTTTAGTTTACTTTCTCTACCATAAAATGGAAAATTATTACCTGCCAAAACCTGTAATTTATATAATTGTACATTTATTTAAATTAATTGTATTAGATATTCAGAATAATTTTTGAAAGTTTTTTTTTTTTTATTATAAATAAATAAATGTATTTACAATCTGTAATATAACAAAACAATAAGTAAATTTGAGATTTTTAATTTTTGAAAGTTATAAAAATAATTTTATGTTATTATATAGATATATTTAATATTGTATATTATACCTAATTATGTTTTTATTGGACATTTGTTTGAAATATCGGAAAATGCATGCATGTCTTACATATTTAATATATTAATATTTATTGTTATAACTTACTAGTGTTTTTTTTTTTTTCAGAAATCGCTATTAGTAAATTGTTTATACCAAAATAATAAGTAAAATTCCTTATAGTATTTCATGTTTATATATAGTATAATATATTTAATGTTATTATAGATATTGTAGTTAGAAGTATAAGATCAATATATTTTAGTTCATGATTATTATTCATTGTAAGTATCTACTACCTAAATACTATGTATGTAGTAGGTACGTATACTTAACACGTTTGATATTATATATTATGTTAATACAAGTAATTAGAATTATAAATCGTTGGCCTGATATTTCATTTTAAGTAAGCCGCAGTAAGGTAATTACAATTATATAATATTATAACATTTTATTTATTTAACTCTTACAAATAATAATATTCAAACTGTAAATCTAGTATAACCTATTTACGTCATTTATATTATTTGTATTTAAATTGTATACAATGCATATTGTAGACAGTAGGATATATAATAACATTTATAATATTATATTATATAGTATACATATTGTACACAGAGTTATTCACCAAACACGCTAACCTTATTATTTTTTTTAGTAATAAAATTATTCAAATTCTTGTTTTTTAGAACTTTTAAATATATTTTTTTTACAGCAACTTAAGAGTTTTCTTTTTGTGATCTAATTTATTTATTTTTTTAAATGAGAATCGTCCTATTTTTTTGCAAGTTGTTATTTAGACGGATTATTTTAGTATCTAAATCAAAATTCTAACAATAGTATATAGGTTTTAAGTTTAGAAGATATGTAGGTTTGATTTTATCAAATCATTAAGTTTTCACTTAAATAATTAATATTAATCTATCAAATATTTTCATAATTAGTAAAAATACTAAATCTAATATTACGTTTGTTTATATTCATTTTTAAGGTTATTATTTATTTTATATTATTAAAAAAAAAGTGGGTGTGTTTTTGGTGATTAATCCTGTATATTTATTATTATATATATATAAAAAAAACACTTTTTAACAAAGTTAAACGTATTATTATTTATGTCTATTAAAAACAGTTATTGTACATAGTTATATTTTTTAATTACATATTACGTAGAATCATGTAACTGCTTGGTAATAATAATATTTCACGGTATTATGTAGCCGGGCAAAGGATTATTATTTTGCTCTTGCGAACTTGAAAATAGTGGCATCATTATTTTAATTAAATATCCAATATTATTGTTGTTATACGGACATACTATATAGGTACTACCGAATCCAGTTCGGTGCGATCATCTTTATCACGTTTCTTATGGGGCCATAACGATATCAGCATTATTATTACAATAAATGCAGTATTACCACAGAGTAAGAATATTACTGTAATATAATATTATAATCGAAAATTATTTTAACACATTAAACCGACGCATAGAGTAATTATTTGTCTCCAGACAAAAAGCATTTTTTGTTTTTTATAGACACAGTTCTCTAAGGTCTGAACGACTGCCGCATTTGATCAACGTGATTTTGCCTGATTTGCACACGAACATTTCCAACTCGTCTCTTTTTGGTGAGCTATCCACGCACACATCGTTCGCTGTCGTTCTGTCCGTACACCGCGTTGAATATCCTCTTTTCCATTCGGAAAATGTGGTGGACCGCATTGAGGAAAACCTCCCGTGATTCGCGTTTGATTTATTACGAAAACGACCACGTCGGAAGTGCCTCAATTTTATGTGGAATTCACGTTTGAATTTTTCCTGAAATTTCAATATTGTAAATGACTCTTACCTGTTATCCGTCTGAATATAGTTTTAATAATATCCACAAATCCCCAATCGATAACTCCGTAACAATATACTACTCTACCAACATCGTGGTGAAATATAAAACATAAATTATTCGACTTATAATTTTGATACATTTTGTATGAGTTAATATTGTTTATTTTAAAACGCATATAAAAATCTACAATATATTATTACATTCATTGTTAAAATTATATTAGTTGTGTAATCAAAAGTTATGGTTCACTATTAATGTCACTTGTATATTAATATTTTTGTGAATAGTAAATGACGAAAGTAAGCGGCTTAATAAATTGTAATAAAGTTAAATAGGTTACCTAATTAATTATTTCTAGTCCAAAAATTTTTAAGGTATACTCATAAGTATACTAAGCCATTAAATATGTTTAGTTGATAAAAAAATAATTTTAATCGAAAATTTTGGTTTTAAAAAGTGAAATATATATTGTAAAATTTCAAAAAAATAAAATAAACAACAAAACCATTTGTTTTTAATTTATAACTCAAAATTAACAAATAAATCTTGCAGTGTTTATTATAAACGTTAAGACGTCTAAAATATTAACTCTAATAGGAATTTAACATACATAACATAGCTTATAATGGTGAATTAAGATGTAAAATTTCAAAATTAACTCTATTTAGTTTATTTATTATTTTTGTTGTTTATTTCAATTATTTAAAACTAAACTTTTTATGATCTTTGACCAAACAAAATTACACCTATATTAAGTTTTTATTTTTATTTCGTATTAAAGCTTAAATTAAAATGTTTTTCAATGTTAATAAATTTTAAAACAAAACATTTTAATACAAATGTAAAAAGAAAAATATTAATATGATATAATAAAATTATTTTTGTTTTATAAATTATTTATTTTTGTTTTTTAAATTATTTTCAAATTAAATTCATAATGATACATTTATTTTTATAAATACTAATTTATACTAAAATTGTAAGATATTTTATTTTTCTAAAAAAAAAAAAAAAAAAAAATAAAAAATATTCAATACTTGATTTAGAATATTTTAAATCAAAATTTAATGAATCACTATTTAGAGACATATTTTTACCACGTCTGTCCATATTTTTGAACATATTTTAATAATTATAGTAAGAAACAAATTATACTGATTGTATAATACATAAAATATGAATAAAGCAGATAATTGGTTTTCGGTAATGTAGCATTTTGAGTATATTTCGCATTATTGTAATCTATTTGTTAAATTTTAAATTTCAACTTAATAAAAGCTCATTGAATATATAAGAAAAACAATTTTAAGCAAAATGTTCTATCAGCATTAATAAGACACTAATTATATTTTATGATGCATTTATATTTTTATGAATGTAATTTGATGAAAAAATTGCATTTTAAAATGTCATCTGTGTATAAAATGTAATGATATATTTTAAAAGTTTCAATAGTGCATATGAATAATATTTTAAAAATACAATTAAATAACTAGATTCGTTATTCTTCATTCAAATATCAAATTACATCTAAATTCAAGTTTTTCAGATATCCTATACAATAATTATTTTTTATAACTGAAAATCAAAGCATATTAACTGATCTAAAGGCTTATAATGAACAGAAATAAAACATACACTTCCTTGTAAAAATCATTAACATTCGTCACTTCGCTCAGAATCTCAATGAAGAATATTTTACAATATTAATTCAAATAAATTACAATGAATGGTTCTGTCATAGATTTTAGTAAATTAATCGTCTGCTTATAATGAATAATATGATATAATATTATTATTTATAAACTTAATACGTAATATTTAATGTTCTAATATATTTATAATATTTTTCATTAATAAATGAAAAACATACAATAATAACTTATGATACTTACATTATATATTCCATAGATGAATGGGTTGTAACAACTGTTGCTCATTGCCAGCCAGTCACAACAAAAGAATACAATGTTTATATAGCGAAACCTAAAATAATTCAAATTTAAAAATTTATTTGTACATTCAGAAATTGAGTACCGACAAAGCAATAATAATTTACTGATTTATTGATGGGAATATATCTTGAAGTACGTTATACGTTTGTAATGGTAACCAACATAAAACGAACAATCCAACCACAATAACTAACATCTTTATGACCTGGAAAATATCATCAAATAGATATATACATTTAATTTTTAAATTGTATTTAACGTAAGACAGTGTAATAATAAAAATAAATATATCAATTAATCTAGTAGTTTGTTAGAGTATTTATCACATATGAATTCAACATTATTTTTGTTTACAAAATGTAAAATAGTTAAAAATTATCAAACAGCCTTATGAATAATAAATTGCTGCTAATGCAATTAGGTTTCGTCTCAATTATTTCCTTGGAAATGTTTAATTAGTAATTCAAGTAATTTATATTCTTTTTAATAGTTTGTCAATGATACTTAAATATTAATAACCAAACTTATTGTAATTTATAAAATATCTAATAGTAGTAACTAAGAATAATAAAATTACTACCATTTACAATTAATACTAATATTTATGATAATTATAGTAATTATACAATTTGTATAAAATATTAAGAAAACCAATGATTATATAAGTGTATTCACTAAATTTTATACGATAAGTGTGTATGACGACTAGCTTACTAAATTATTATGAAAAAGTGAAAAATATATATTTTGTAAAAGTATGTAAGTTTGCTAAGATATCGTTTCTGTTTCAACTTAATATTGAACTATGCAGATTTTTACCGTATAGGTAGACTCAATTTTTTTAAAACTGTATATAATAATATCTGATAAGTTTTATCACACATATATTATGCATATAAATATGCAGTATATAATGATTGCCATCGTAACTTTTAATAAAATTAATTGGTTCAAAAATGCAATAAATAATTTAAAAGAATATTGATGTAAATTGAACTATTGTCCTTGTAAGAATAATGATGTAATTTTGAAAAATGTGGAATATTTTATATCAATTTATGTTTTATTACTGAAACTTAGTTAATTTTTTTTAAACTAGGTAGGTAATATAATAATTGAAAAATTAATTTTTTATTTTCAGTAGTGAAAAATATATTTGTTTCAATAATTTATAAACAGTTTAATTAAAACTATGAGTTAGTTGAGCGTTTTTAAGAAGCAACAGACAATCGATATGTGCTTATATACTCATATTTCTACTCATTAACTCATTATACTACCATATTTTACTGTCTTTTTAGATATTGTGTTTCTATTTTTTTAAATGGAAATTGTATTACAATAAAAACGTTTTAGTTTTTAACAAAATATTGACAAACTTTAAATAAACCAAGCTTATAGCCTACAGCATTTATTCAAATCCAATGATTGATTTAAATTAATTATAATAATACTACAGTTCTAAAAAAAATGAAAAACTGAAAATACAGCTTTTGTTTCTAATCTTACCTAAGTTTTTTTTTATTTTTTTATTTTTATTGAACTTAAGCTCAGCGACTGGGACCATTAGCTGTTGTAGGGGTTATGAACTGTGGTAGGGGTAAGGTTGGTACGATAGGTTATTTTTTTATGATTGTTGTTACGGTTGATAACAAACACGTGTATGTGTGGCAAGGTTTTTAACCACTATGATCCCGGGTGGTCACCCATCCAGGAGCTAGTAGCTGTGGTCGATACTAACTCTCAGTTGCATTCCGTGACTAGTAGCAGCCTACGCGCCACGCCAATCCACACCTTAGTTTTTAAATAATATGAAATTAGAACTAGAGAATTATAAGTCGGACAACGTACATTTTTTTGAATATTTACATATTCAATTTATCAAAAAGTTCAATAGTTAAAAGAATAGCATTTCTAATATTAATAATATTCACTTGATGTACCTAATTAGTACCTATTTAGTTTATTGGAATTTTAATCTACCTACATTATAGTTTAGTCATTTTGAATTTTCAACAAGTTTTTATGAAAATTTAACAAAGTCATTAATAACGACGTATAATAAAATTGTAAATAAATGAGTTTTCAAATATCTTTGGATTCACTTTATTTCATTGTTTTTTAATTTACTGATTGATCTAAAATATGATAGTTCACATCACGATTTTTCTTCAATACTATAAAATTTAGGTTTAAACTCCTCAATTGATCGCAAGCATGCAAGAATACAATTTATAAATATCTTCAATAATAGATCTGCTACTTCTTAGAAATATAATGAAACTCTTCGTTGTTGTACGCCGTTAGCTAATTTAAGCTAATTTCTATATTATCTCAAAATGTTTCATTTATTTTACCAAGCTTTAGTTATTAATTTATATTGTACCATTAATTTGTTATTCTATTTTATATTATTTGGAAATAATTGCATTACATTAAGAATGATTTGATACCGAACAATCGTAAGTTACATTTAAAATCACCACTATTTATATTTTTGAACGTTTGAAACAAATCAAATGATTACTGCAACAGTTTATATTGATTAACTATATTTATATTATAAATTAGTTCAATATTTGGTAATAAAAATAAAAAAAAATAATAAAATGAAAAAATATTTTATTAGTTATTTGAAATTTGATAATTTAATTGAGAACTACTTTATGAGATTTGTCAATACATTTTTTGCCTGAAAATGTTAAGCAATTTTTACGCATCAATTTATTCGATAGAAATTCCATAATTTTAATAATTAAACATGAGGTAATTTTACTATTAAAAATCGGACTATAGTTCAAAAGATTTTAAATTATTATTAATATTAAATAATTTCGATATTATTGCTATAATTCTTAGTATTAATATAGCATGTTACACTAGCTGATATTAACTACTGATTATTAAAATCATTTATTTAAATTTTAAATAATTTTTTTTTTGTATTGTGTGATTTCATTGTCATGCAAGTAGTATATATTTGTATGTTCACAGAATTTTTCAGCAGGAAAATTAAAAAAAAATTAATGGGGAATATCTCCTTCAAGCCAATATTTTTTCTAGTATAAAAAAACAGAGATTCTTAAAAATCATATTCAACACTACCACTAATATTTAATATTTTAAAATTTTCAAATATATTAAATAAATTAACAGATATTAATTTATATATATTAATCAAACAATATGAAAATAAATAAATTAAAAACTAAAATCTTCTTATGCAGTCGAAATGAAGTAGCTAAACCAGATTTAAAATTAGATGGTGACACACTAGAAGTAGTTGATGAATATAAGTATTTTGGAAGTACAACAACAAAAGATGAAGGATGTGACAAGGAAATAAGATACAGATTACAACAATGCACGATTTGCATTTCAAAAAAGAAGGGCTTACTCACTTCTAAAAATATAGAAATAATATTAGCTTGAGGGGAATATTCCCCCTAATTTTTTTTAATATCCCTTAATTTGCTATTTGTTTAATGTAAATAAGCATTTTAAGTTTCTTACAGAAAACTATCTAAATTAACAGTATGAGTGATAGTTTGGGAATTAGAACTACACTAAATTAGATCTCGTATTATATTTTTGACCGAATATAACAATTTTGTCAACACGTACAGTCAAAATATTACACCGATTTAAAAATGTTAAAAAATTATAAATATTAAAAAATGATCTTAAATATTTAAAATAATACTATACTATATTAAATAACATAGCATTTATTTTTTAAGTGCAAATTAACAATAAAGGAAATAAATAGACTTAAATATGTTTTTATAAATGTTTGAATATAAAATTAATGACAAATTGTGAATTACTATATAGGAAGCACATACAATTTTAAATTTTAACCTAAGGCTAGTTTAGACTTGAACATTTAATAGAACGTTCCTCACATTATGTTTGATATATTTCATTCGAAGTAGTGGCAGATTTAATTGTCATTTAGTTAAAAAATTCCGACGAAGTCCCTTCCTATTAGCTAATGTGTACCTAAATTAAATGGTTGATTTTTTTTAGTTTTGACCAAAAATTTATATTGCTAACTAGAATATAATTTACCATTATTTTAAAAATAAAATAATTTAAATATATAGGAATATTTCAAAAGTAAAGAAAAAATGTTATAATTAAAATAATTAAAAAAGTAAAAAATATCAAACTAATAACTTATATACGTTAATTTAAGTTATTCTACATTTAACAAACCACCATTGATCACAAATAATATTTTTTTTAGTTATAATCAATGCTACTTCGTATTAATCTTAATGTACAAATATATGATTTTTAATTAATTGCACTGCACCTGTTTTTCCATACAATACAAACTAAAATATATTAATATCAAGAATTCTATTATCGCGGAAACTAAAATAACCATTAACAGTCATTTGTTAGTTCGTGACAAGTAAAATATATTATTTTAATTATTTGATTATAACTCAACTTGTTACAAAACGTATGATTGTATGAAAATAAAAACAACAATTTTATAAGTATAATAAGTAATAACAATCTTTTCATTACTTCATCAGCGGGGCTATGGCGTAAATTATAATTAATTGGATACCGTTTTCGCGATAAATTCGCAAAGTACATAATATTAGAAAATGTGGTAAACAGAGTTGTGAATTTAATGTATTTGTACTATGTTTTGAATATGTGTATACATTTAACGGGTTAAGATATTGTTCTCACAGTAGAATAACTATAAAGTTCTTTCTGATATTTAAAAGTATTATCATAATATTAAAAAGAGAGTCAGCGAGTAATTTCCTTCCCACCACCAATTCACTCAACAACCTAGCTGACTGGTCGGTCACACACACACAACTTATGTTTTTGTGAGTCATAACTAACTGCTAATTTTATCATTGATTATTGTGTATAAAGTGCATTCAATTTACAGTTCTGTTGATAAATGTATGAATGATATATAGTTAGATACCACCTACTTTAAATACAAATTTGAATAAATATCATTATTTAAATTTTTTTCTTATAGAAAAATGTCTAAAAAATGAAGATTTGATTCGAGAGCTTAATAAAGAGCAAAAAAAAAATATTCAACTTCTTGTAGTTGCTTATGAATATCCAAGTTAAACCAAACTTTTTTTTTTACATCAACAGTAAAAAGTACAATAAAAAATATGCCTGCAATGAAGTCTGAGATGAATGCAATTTATGAAACTA